GAATGTGATTTGGGCAGAAATATTAAATTATTTAACAAAATATCCTAATCTCTTAAGTACACTGAATATAGAACTAAGTTATATGAGACCCCTTTCATAATTCAGAACATATACTACTTGTATTCCTTTATTATTTTTTAAAATTTACATCAACATTTTTATCGTCATTAATGGCTAATATTTGTTGGGTATTTACTACGTGCCACGCAAAGGGCTGAATGTTTGGCATGCATCATTTCACATAATTTGCACCACACATTGTGGCGCAGGTAACACCATTACAACCATTTTTCAGACTGAAGCCCTGAGAGGCCCTGCCCAGAGTCATGCACCTGGCAAGTGAAGGGAGTGAGACTTTTACTGTGGTTGGTGTGAACTTGTATTCCTTTTAAAATTCTTCTTACTTTTCCTAAGTACTCTCTAATGGTTGCCTGTCCCTAATTTAAGCCCCTAATCCTGTATATCAAAGATAGATACATAGGCTTAAAGAAATAAATGGTATTCCATTATCATATTAGTGCTAAAAAGTATCAAGAATTAGAATGGGATTAGCAGTATCATTTCTATGGTATTTAAGTAGTTGTTTAGTGTCCCAGCCTCAGCAATCAGACAACAAAAAGAAAAGGCATCCAGATCAGCAGGGAAGAAGTCAAACTTCCACTATGTGCAGATGACATGATACTTTATGTAGAAAACCCAAAAGCCTCCACCAAAAAATTGCTAGACCTGATTTATGAATTCAGTAAAGTCACAGGATACAAAATCAGTGTGCAAAAATCTGTTGCATTTCTTCATACCAATAATGAAGCAGCAGAAAGAAAAATCAAGGACTCAATCCCATTTAAAATTGTACCAAAAACCATAAGATCCCAGGAATAAACCTAACCAAAAGGTAATGGGTCTATACTCTGAAAACTACAGAACACTTACGGAAGAAATTGAGGAAGACACAAAGAAATGGAAAAATATTCCATGCTCATAATTAATAAATATTGTTAAAATGTCTATACACCCAAAGCAATCTACACATTTAATGCAATCCCTAACAAAATACCACCAGCATTTTCCACTAGAGCTAGAACAGTCCTAAAATTCATACGGAACCACAAAAGACTCCAAACAGCCAAAGCAATCTTGAAAAAGAAAAGCAAAGCTGGAGATATCACGATTTCAATCTTCAAGCTATATTACAAAGCTGTGGTGATCAAGGCAATACTGGCACAAAAACAGAGACATAGATGAGTGGAACAGAAAAGAAACCCAGAAATGGACACACAACTATATGGTCAACTAATCTTTGACAAAGCAGAAAAAAATATCTGATTGAAAAAAGATGGTCTCTTCAACAAATGTTGCTGGGAAAATGGGACAGCAACATGCGAAAGAATGAAACTAGACCACTTCTTACACCACACACAAAAATAAATTCAAAATGGATGAAAGACCTAAATGTGAAACAAGAAACCATCAAAATCCTAGATTAAAACACAGGCAACAGCCTCTTTGACATGAGCCATAGCAAATTCTTGCTAGATACATCTCTGGAGGCAAGGGAAACAAAGGCAAAAATGAATTACTGGGACTTCATCAAGATTAAAGATTCTGCACAGCAAAGGAAAAAAAATCAACAAAATTAAAAGGCAGCCTTCAGAGTGGGGGAAAATATTTGCGAATGACATATCTGATAAAGGATTAGTATCCAAAATCTATAAAGAATTTATCAAATGCAACATCAAAAAATAATAATAATAATAATCCAGTTCAGAAATGGGCAAAAGATATGAATAGTCATTTTTCCAAAGAAGACATACAGATGACTAACAGACACATGAAAAGATGTTCAACATCACTCATCATCAGAGACATATGAATCAAAACTATGGTGAGCTATCACCTCACACCTATCAGAATGGCTAAAGTGAACAACAGATGTTGGCGAAGATGTGGAGAAAGGAGAACCCTCTTACAGTGTTGGTGGAATGCAAGCTGGTACAGCCACTCTGGAAAACAGTATGGAAGTTCCTCAAAAAGTTAAAAATAGAACTCTCCTATGACCCAACAATTACACTACTATTTATCCAAAGAATACAAAAATATTGATCCAAAGGGGTATTTATAGCAGCATTATCAACAATAGCCAAATTATGGAAAGAGCCCAAATGATCTACTGATGAATGGGTAAAAAGATGTGGTACACCCACACAAAACATAAGCGCGCGCGCGCACACACACACACACACACACACACGAATGTTACCCAGCCATGAAAAAGAATAAAATGTTGCCATTTGCAATGATGTGGACAGAGCTACAGTGTATTATGTTAAGAGAAATAAGTCACTCAGAGAAAGACAAATACCATATGATTTCACTCATAAGTGGAATTTAAGAAACAAAACAGATAAACATAGGGAAAGGAAGGGAAAAAAGAGATGGAGGCAAAGCATAAAAGACTCTTAACTATAGAGAAGAAACTGAGGGTTGCTGGAGGGGAGGTATGTGGGCAGATGTGCTAAATGGGTGATGGGCATGAAGGTGGATACTTGTGATGAGCACTAGGGATTATATGTAAGTGCTGAATAAATTCTTCTGAAACCAATATTGCTCTGCATGTTAGCTAACTAAAATATAAATAAATACTTGAAACAACAGCATAAAAAGGAAATATGGAAAGTGCCACATACAAAAAAAATAGTTGTTTAGTATTTCAGTCCCACTAATAGAAAATAAGCTAATTCAATGTAAGAGGATGAATTTGGAACACCTCAGGTTATAATTATGTTTTTACATAATATATAGTTTACATAATAAAATTCTATTTTATTAGTATACATAATGATATCTTAAATAAAATTATTAAAGAATCACAGAATGATAGAGAATTATAAAAATTAAGTGTTAAACACTGAGAAGTCTAGCCTCATCTCACTTGAGGCAGAAACCTTTTCCTTCAACATCTAACCTTTGTTTCTACACTTGGTGTCTGTAGAGGCTCATTACTTCACCATTTTGGACAGCTCTAGATATTTTAGACGTTCCACTATATTAAGCTGAAGTCTATCTTTCCCTGTAATTCTGCTGATTCTTACTAATTCTTCCATGACAGTCCCTCAGATATTAGAAGCCAGATTCCTATCCTTGCTAGGTTCAACCTCCTCAGCTCCTCGAACTACTTCTCAAATGGTATCTTGGCTAGGTATCTTAACTCTGGTTATCGCTAGTTTTTTATCCCTCTTGAATCAGTCATGTGCACATCAATGAGTCAAGTATTAGTTAAGCAGTGTCCTCAATATTACTTAGCACTTGCTGTAAAAAATAATGTAGATCTGATATAATAAACAACAGAAGAGGGTACAGGATTTAGAAATAATTGATAGATAGATGTTAAGTATAAGAGAGAGCTAAAAGAAGGAAAATCAGCCAAAGGCTAGTATATATAGAAAGTCAAGTATAAGGTGATGAAGATCTGGACTGAGTAGCAATGGAAATGAAACAGAATGGACAAGTATATGGGATGTTTCAAAGTAAACATCAACAAGATTTAGAAAATTGGGTAAATTGCATGAATAAAGGAAAGGAGATTGAAACCATAATTCAGGCTTCTAAGCCTAAGTGACTGATAAAAATGTTAGAGCTATTTTCTAAGACTGTGGAAGGGAGCACCAGTTTGGGAGTAAAAGGCAGATAATAATGATTTTGCTTGAGTTTGGAGCAAAATTAGGATAAGCATTTAGAAAGTCTCTCTTAGAGATACAGAAATATGGAACTAGAAGCTTATATATATGAGATAAAGGCAGGAGACCATCAGATTTGAGATGACAGTTATAGTCCGAGAAACGATTAGTCTGATAGAGAGACCAAGGAGAATAAGAACAAAAGACCTGGGACTAAGCATTGAGTAGTCACATAAGTTGATATGGTTCCTGCCGGAAATCACAGAGTAGTAGAAGAGAAGCAAATCTTAGTACAAGTCACATTTAAGAGATACTGGTTAGGAGCGCCTGGGTGGCTCAGTGGGTTAAAGCCTGGTGCCTTCAGCTCAGGTCATGATCCCAGGGTCCTGGGATCAAGCCCCACATCAGTCTCTCTGCTCAGCAGGGAGCCTGCTTCCCTTCCTCTCTCTCTCTGCCTGCCTCTCTGCCTGCTTGTGATCTCTGTCAAATAAATAAATAAAATCTTAAAGAAAAAAAAAAAGACACTGGTTAGCTGGTGTCCTGGGAATGTTGACTAGATGAACAGTAACAGTGATAATAGGAAAGTCAATTTGAATTCTAAAACACCCTATTATGTTGGCCCTGAATTCTACATGCTACATTTTTTAATCCTCAGGATTTCTGAAGCACACTCAATGTTGAAAAAAGAAAAATGTACTAATTTTGGCTGTCACCACTAAATATTCTTTTTACAAGTAAATACTTATTTAGTTATCTTAAGTATTAGAAATAATTAACACAGTATAAGAATAGGTGGACTTACGTTTTTTATTGCAGTGGGGTAGTCTGTAAACATGAGATTCATGAGACACAAATATGCAGATATAAAGAAACCAGTCATGTGAATGATTTGTCTACATAAGACTTACACCCAGATATACCCAGATGATTGATGACTCATGGTATTTTGTGGAATACTAAACTTTGTTGGTAATCCCGTTTTTTTACAATTGTATGTAATTATATGCTTGTGATTAAGAGTACAAAATTCCAAAGGCTCATAGAAAATGTACATTTGAGTATTTCAGGTGTTATCATTTTAGAAGACTTTTTCTTTAAATATTGCATTTCTGATTTTTCAAAAGTAGCCCTTTGATTGTGTGTGTATGTGTGTGTGTGTGTCTGTCCGTCTGTCTGTGTGTAGGGTGGGGGAGGTGGCTGTCCATTGATACAAATGCCTTGCTTTCATTATCCTGGGGATGGGAGAAAGTTTACATGCTACCATATAAGGTTGTCATCAAAATGATCTTCCTGAATTATTTTGTGTGTGTGTATGTGTATGTACAGCCACAATTCCTTCAGGAGACACCTACCAAGGCAAATGCAGGTTTCCAGTGTTGATTTTAGCATGGGCACAGAACCCGTTTTACAAAGAGGAGAAACAACAACCAGCATTGGGAGGATAAAACCAGAGCTCTACAAACAGAAATCAGTTGACTCTGAGGGCAACAGGCAAGAAGATATCAAAACTTGTGGGAAACTTAACTTCACCCTCCAGTATGACTATGAAAACGAACTTCTAGTTGTTAAAATTATCAAAGCCTTAGATCTCCCTGCTAAAGACTTCACAGGCACTTCTGACCCTTATGTGAAGATGTATCTTCTTCCAGATAGGAAAAAGAAATTTCAGACCCGTGTGCACAGAAAGACTTTAAATCCTCTATTTGATGAAACGTTTCAATTTCCCGTAGCATATGATCAACTAAGCAACCGAAAACTACATTTCAGTGTGTATGATTTTGACAGATTTTCTAGACATGACATGATTGGGGAAGTGATTCTTGATAATTTGTTTGAAGTCTCTGATCTCTCCAGGGAAGCCACAGTTTGGAAAGATATTCATTGCGCTACTACGGTAAGTAATAATTCCCCCAATATATTGGTTTTTATTTGACCTGCAGTGGTACATAAAACTAATTATCACCCAGCTTCTTGGAGTAAGTTTACAAATTATAGAATTTATATGCTAAGAACCTGCAAAGGTAGGCTTTGATTACATACATAAAATAATTTAGGCACCTAACACAATATTAGTAATTATGTAAATAAAATATAGCTCTTTAGGTTACCAAAAATAGTAGTTGTTTCCTCTTAAAAAATGTTTATTTGTGGGGCACCTGGGTGGCTCGGTGGGTTAATCCTCTGCCTTCAGTTCAGGTCATGATCCCAGGGTCCTAGGATCGAGCCCTGCATCGGGCTCTCTGCTCAGCAAGGAGTCTGCTTCCCTCTCTCTCTGCCTGCTTCTCTGCCTACTTATGATCTCTCTCTGTCAAATAAATAAGTAAAATTAAAAAAAATATATTTATTTGTAACCTGTCTCCTCATAGTTAATACTTTCATTATTTAAGAAAATTTTGTTCCTCAGATCAAACCTAAAAAATATTTTGATGCTGTTTTGAAAAGCCCTTGTTTAAATTTAAAACAGCCCATTCCTACAGAGGCTTTCATGCACTAGATATGATTACAGAATCTGAAATGTTGAATGATCATAAGTGACTGTTTGTTTATATTGGGATTTTTCATTTACATTATAAAATGCTTTCTCTGAATATAAAATAATAACTTTAGTAATGAAAATTGGGAAAACAGTAAAAAAAAATACGAAATTAAAATACTCTATAGTGCTACCAATTATGTGTAATATTATGACATATTGTTTTCTAAATTTTTTCTATACATGTTTTAAAATTATTGAGATCAAACTAAGTTTAAAAATTCCCACACTGGTTTTCTTTCATGCTACATTTGTTTTAGTGCATGATGTTTAAATGTATGATCTATTTACCTAGCCATTCTCTTATTGTTGGACATTTGAGTTATGCATAAATTCGTTATGCTAAAAATTATTGTGTTCTTTATTCCATAAATCTTTATTTGAGATTATCTGTCTAGGACAGAATTATGGAATTGGAACTAGAGAACTGGTTGCTTAGGTTAGATTGCAGAATTGTTTGGATTTGTTTTTGTTTTGTTTTGTTTTTTTAAGAGGGAGGCAGATCATGAGCTGGGGTTGGGGGGCAAAGGGAGAGGGAGAAAGAGAAACTTAAACAGGCTCCATACTCGGCACAGAGACCAACATGGGGCTTGCTCTCATGACCCTGCTCTCATGACCCTGAGATCATAACCTGAGCAGAAATCAAGAGGGGGACACGGCCAATTGAGCCACCCAGGCATCCCTGATTTCTTGATTTTTCAATGGAGTCATTTAATTTTTTAATTTTTTTTATTATTATGTTAGTCACCATACAGTACATCATTAGCTTTTGATGTAGTGTTCCATGATTCATTGTTTGCATATAACACCCAATGTTCATTACAACATGTACCCTCCTTCATACCCATCCCCCGACTCTCCTCCCCTCTAAAACCCTCAGCTTGATTCCCGGAGTCCATAATCTCTCATGGTTCATCTCCCCCTCTGGTCCACCCTGCCCATCATTTAATTTTTTTACCACCAGATTGTCTTTATGTATTTGCCATCTTTTGTCCAAATTTTACCAAAATTTATAATCTTAAAATGTAGCAGGGTTTTTTTTTTTTTTTTTAAGATTTTATTTATATATTTGAGAGAGAGAGTGAGAGAGAGCCTGAGAGGGGAGAAGATCAGAGGGAGAAGCTGATTTCCCGCAGAGCTGGGAGCTGGATGCCAGACTTGATCCAGGGACTCCAGGATCCTGACCTGAGGCAAAGGAAGTGGCCTAACCAACTGAACCACCCAGGCACCCAAAATGTAACAGTTTTTAATAGAGATAAGGGATTATTTTAAAAATAAGAAAATTATATTTTAATTCAAAGTAATTCCTTTTTATTTTTCCCCCATCAGTGTTTTACTAATTAAAATCAGTATTTGGGGGTCATTCTATTTTCACTATAATTATTATATGGATAAGGTAACTTAAAATTTTATACTTCCAATTTGTTGCATTGCATCATCATAACATTTTCAATTGTTAGGTTTTTATTTTTGGTTTCCAAAATTTATAGGGAACGAAGAAATTTTCAAACTGGATCAGATTTCAAAGGTACATTGGGGCTGTTTTGATTTCACGGTGTTTTTCACCTTATAACTTATATTCCTACAGGGAAAAAATGGGGAGGGGTGATTTTTATGTTTTAAAAAGTATGACATTTCTGGAATTCTACAAATACAGATAATTATTAATTAATTGTTAGGTTATTTCTCTCTTGATTCCCCAATCTTGTATTATTACTTCTTTTATTCATCCAGCAAATATTTGCTAAGTGCCTACTATGGGTTTGGTATGTTCTAAGTAATAGGTATGAAACATGTTCTTGAGCCTATGTGGGAAATCTAGGATAACTTCCCCAACTCAAAGTTCATAGTAATCTTTTTTTTTTTTTTAAAGATTTTATTTATTTATTTGACAGACTGAGATCACAAGTAGGCAGAGAGGCAGGCAGAGAGAGAGGAAGCAGGATCCCTGCGGAGCAGAGCACCCGATGCGGGGCTTGATCCTAGGACCCTGAGATGGTGACCTGAGCCAAAGGCAGAGGCTTAACCCACTGAGCCACCCAGGCGCCCCAAGTTCATAGTAATCTTAATCACATCTGCAAAGTCCCTTTTGCTTTGTAGGTAACATAGTCACAGATTCTGGAACTTAGGATGTGTTTATCTTTGGGGTGTCTTTATTCTGAGTACAACTTCTATAGACATTTTTATTTCAATATTCTGGTTGCAAAAAGCAGTAGGTAGATAATAAAATATATTATTAAATTGTTCTAGCCAAATGATATTTCTCTGTAACTGGAACATTGAGCCATTGTTCTAGATACTGTTTATGGCTTTTCTGTTAGGAAGATAGTAATGAAACCTAAATTTCTTGACTATGATGCCAAAGCTCACAATATACACTAGCATCATCTTTATGGATAGTGTTATGTTTAAGTAAATCTTCTCTTCAGCTTTTGAAAAATCATTAAACAATTTTATATTTCAGATTAATAAAGTAAAATAATATAGGTTGAAGTTTGCTTAAGAAACTATCTTTACTTACACATTTTAACTTTAAATAATTTCATACAGAAATACAGTTTCCTACAGAGAGGGAGAAAGAAAGGAAAGAAATAAAAAGAAATTAAAAATAAATTAAAAAATAAAAAGTCATACACCTTCACTTATCCAAGTTTTATAGAAACCTGCAAAGGTGATTCAGCTATGTGAATACAGATTTAAAAGAATTTATGTAACAGACAAAACATATTTGAATTAAAGTATTAGTTCTTTTTATATCAGGAGACACTAATGACAAATACACATAAATAACTAGTTAAACATAGATTTTAAGCCATTCTTATAAAGTTCTTATTTGAAATAATCATGTGCAATTTTTTTAAAAGAGGACCTTTATATACTGCAAACCTCCAACTCAAAAATTCTAAAATTTAGTCAAAAAATTTGGTCATCAACTTGAAATAGTCAGTCTATCTTTAATGTTTAATGAATCTCATTAATATCATTAAGTCCTGCTTTACTATCATATCGATATAAATGCCATGGCTTCTTGTTACTTCTTCAGGCCAATGATATAATTATTAAAAATAGAACTCTATGGAATTCAGAGTTGCTGCTTTTTTGTGATTATTGTTTTTAATTATCTTGTGTCTCATTCCAGCAAATTTTTAACATAGAGTCTCTGTCACAGTTTTTTTCCCCTATGTATCCAAAGTCCTGTTCAAGGCCTTATTCAAAAAAATCTTCCTAGGCCAGTTCATTAAATGAAATTGATTTTTTTTTTCTCCATCACTGGATTCAAATAACTTCAATTTGACTATATAAGTGCTTATTGAGAACTTTCTACGTACAAAGCTTATACTTTGTTCTAAAGTGGAAATAAAGACTAGTAAAATACAAGTTTTGGTCAAGAACTTTAGCCTGATAGAAGAAACAAGTAAAGAAGTATATGCTAATATATAAACAACATTATATAATATCTTCCTGATAATCTCCACAAATGTGGTCTTGTTCACACACACACACACACATTTGCTCTCAATCTCTCATACAGATTATGTCTAATATGAATATATTATAAATGATCACCATATGAGGATGACAGAATTCTGAAAAAAGGAGATGTTTCTTGAAGAAAAAACAGCATGAGGGAAAAGAAAGAAAGCAAGTTCTAGAACGTTTTCAGGGGGAAAACAGTAGGCTGTGAGTACAGGAATATGAGATGAAGAAGGAACTAAAGGGAACCAAAAGTAGAATGTTCTATTTAAACTACATATAATCAGTAAGCCCTTTATTGCTATAGAGGTTTATATTTACTTTGTTTTTATAAAAAGAGTATAAACTATTGGAGCTGTTACCTTCTATGGTATCATATGTACACTGGGTAGGAATAGGGGCTTCTGAAAAGTTAGGGGCCAGGTAGGAGTCTAACATGGCAGTTTAGGTAAGATGAAATAAAGACTGGCTGAGGCTGGTAGCAATGGATATGGAAAGAAGCTAACATTTGCAATGGAAAGTGCCATCTGTGACATGTATTTAAACATTTTCCAAGTAGATGTCTTATATCATCCCCTTGCCTCTAAGCTGAAAGACAGAAATCATCTTGTATCTCTCTTGTATTCTTTACAGTGTATATGAGCACTTCATAACTAATCAGTAAATACTTGTTGAAAAAATTAATGTAGCAAATTTTTATGGATGGTCAAGTGTAAGAATGTATGTAAGCATAAATCTACCACTACCAGAAGGAAAAAACAATGCAATCTTGTACCCTGTTGTTTACAAATTTATAAATTAGCTCTATTTGTTAACACCACTTTCTGTAACAAAAAATTAAAAATTTATTCAGTGTGTGGCATAAATTCATATGCAAAATAAAGCAG